TGCATTGAGCCCCCTGCTATGGGGCACTGAGCCCTCTGCTATGGGGCATTGAGCTCTGCTATGGGGCACTGAGCCCTGCTATGGGGCACTGAGCCCCCTGCTATGGGGCATTGTGTCCTGCTATGAGGCATTGAGCCCCCTGCTATGGGGCACTGAGCCCCCTGCTATGGGGCATTAAGTCCTGCTATGGGGCATTGAGCACCCTGCTATGGGGCATTGAGCCCTGCTATGGGGCACTGAGCACCCTGCTATGGGGCATTGAGTCCTGCTATGGGGCATTGAGCCCTGCTATGGGGCACTGAGCACCCTGCTATGGGGCATTGAGTCCTGCTATGGGGCATTGAGCCCCCTGCTATGGGGCACTGAGCCCCCCTGCTATGGGGCGCTGTGCACCCTGCTATGGGGCACTGACCCTCACCTAGCTTCCCCCCCCCATCCCGTTGCGCTTTGAAAACGCTTTGACCCTTCCCGACCACCGTCCCCCCCCCCCCGCCTCCAATCCTTGCGTCCCCATTGGCCACCAACTCCCCGCGTCCCTCTCCCCCATTGGCCACCGCTCCTTACAGCCCCTCCTCCCCCTCCCCTTTCGCCCCGCCCCTTTCCTCCCCTCCCCGCTCTCCCATTGGCCCTCCCCGAGGCGCCACCGGAAGTGAAGCCCTCCGGGGAGGGAGGCAGGAGGAGGAAGCTCCGGCTGAGGTAACGCCGCCATCTTGGGCTCCGCCATTGCCGGGCCTAGGCCAGGCCCCGCCGATGGCCGCCAACATCGGGGACCAGCGGGCGCCCGAGTGGTGAGCACCGGGCATGGGGGGGGGACGGGGGGGACGGGAACACCTCGGGGGTGTCCGGACCCCGCATCCGACCCCTGCGGTCCGTGTCCGCTCCGCGCAGGGCCGGGCAGTACGGCGGGGCCCGGGAGGGGGCTCTGGAGCCGCCGGCCCATGAGAACCCTGAGTGGGAGAAGGCGCGGCAGGCGCTGGCCAGCATCAGCAAAGCGGCGGCTGCAGGAGGGAAGGGGGCGGCGGGCGGAGGAGCGCAGGTGAGGGGGGGGGAACGGAGGGAGGGAGGGTCCGGATGGGGTCCAGTGGGGCTGAGGAGGGTTCTGAGGGCGGCTGTGGGGTCCGGATGGGTGCCAATGGGGCTGAGGAGGGTCCGGATGGGTGCCAATGGGGCTGAGGAGGGTCCGGATGGGTGCCAATGGGGCTGAGGAGGGTCTGGATGGGTGCCAATGGGGCTGAGGAGGGTCCGGATGGGTGCCAATGGGGCTGAGGAGGGTCCGGATGGGGTCCAGTGGGGCTGAGGAGGGCTTTGATGGGTGCTAATGGGGCTGAGGAGGGTCCTGAGGGCGGCTGTGGGGTCCGGATGGGTGCTAATGGGGCTGAGGAGGGTCCTGAGGGCGGCTATGTGGTCCGGATGGGTGCCAGTGGGGCTGAGGAGGGCTCTGATGGGTTCTAATGGGGCTGAGGAGGGTCCTGAGGGCGGCTGTGGGGTCCGGATGGGTGCTAAGGGGGCTGAGGAGGGCTCTGGTGGGTGCTAATGCGGCTGAGGAGGGCTCTGATGGGTGCTAATGGGGCTGAGGAGGGTCCGGATGGGGTCCAGTGGGGCTGAGGAGGGTCCTGAGGGCGGCTGTGAGGTCCGGATGGGGTCCAGTGGGGCTGAGAAGGGCTTTGATAAGTGCTAATGGGGCTGAGGAGGGTCCTGAGGGCGGCTGTGTGGTCCGGATGGGTGCCAGTGGGGCTGAGGAGGGTCCGGATGGGGCCCAATGGGGCTCAGGAGGGCTCTGATGGGTTCTAATGGGGCTGAGGAGGGTCCTGAGGGCGGCAATGGGGTCCGGATGGGGTCCAGTGGGGCTGAGCAGGGTCCTGAGGGCGGCAGTGGGGTCCGGGATGGGTGCCAGTGGGGCTGAGGAGGGTCCGGATGGGGCCCGATGGGGCTGAGGAGGGTCCGGATGAGGCCCAGTGGGGCTGAGGAGGGCTCTGATGGGTGCTAATGGGGCTGAGGAGGGTCTTTGGGGGGGGGGGTATGTGGGTCTACATGGGAGCTAACGGGGCTGAGGGGGCCCTGAGGGGGCCTATGGGGGCCCAGAGGGGTCCAGATGGGGTCCAGTGGGGCTGAGGAGGGTCCTGAGGGCAGCAATGGGGTCCGGATGGGGCCCAGTGGGCTGAGGAGGGTCTTTGGGGGGACTGTGTGGGTGTGGATGGGTGCTAACGGGGCTGAGGAGGGTCCTGGGAGCGTATGTGGGGGCCCAGAGAGGCCCTTATGGGTCCTGTGGGGTTGGGAGCGGGTCTGAGCATGCACTGGGGACCCTGGAGAGAATTAAGGGGGTCTCAGGGGCTCTTAAGGGGACTGGGGGGGGGCCCAGAGGCTCTTAAGGGATTAAGAGGGGTCCCAGAGGCTCTTACAGGGGTTTGGGGGGGTCCCAGAGGCTCTTAAGGGGGTTCAGGGGAGTCCCAGAGGCTCTTAAGTGGGCCTGGGGGGATCCCAGAGGCTCTTAAGGGGTGCTTCAGAGGCTCTTAAGTGGGTTTAGGGGGGGGTCCCAGAGGCTCTTAAGTGGGTTTAGGGGGGGGTCCCACAGGCTCTTAAGGGGCTCTTATGGGTCCCTGTGTGCTCCTGGGGGGGGGGGGGGGGGCTGTTGTTATGGGGCACCCCCCAAGTGCCCCCCTCTTTCCCCCCAGTACTCCTCATCGCAGGGGGACCCCAACCTGCAGCAGCCGCCTTACTACCAGTGGTACCAGCCCTATGGCAGCTACTACCCCTATGGCTACTACTACCCTATGGTGAGACCCCCAAGTGTGGGGCAGGGATATGGGGGGCGTGGGCACTTGTGGGGCGCAGGCGCTAAGTGGGGGGTTCTCATTGCAGGGTGTTTACTCGGGTTATGGGGCAACAACGACGCCAACAACAGCGGCCTATGGGGCAGGGGGGGGCTACACTGCGGCCCCCCAACAGCCCCCCCAGCAGAGTGGCCTTGGCCAGGTGAGGGGGGACCCACACATTGCCTTATGTGGGGGGTCCCACACATCGCGTTATGGGGGGGGCCCACACATTGCATTATGGGGGGGCCCACACATCCCATTATAGGGGGAGGGGTCCACACATCGCATTATGGGGGGGTTCGCACACATTGCATTATGGGGGGTCTCACATATCCCATTACGGGGGGGGGACCCACACATCACATTTGGGGTGGGGGGGGGTGGGCCGCACACATCACATTATGGAGGGAGGGGGGACCCACACATCACCTTATGGGGGGGTCCCACCCATCAAATTATGGGGGGGCACCCAAACATCGTGTTATTTGGGGGGTCCCACGCATTGCATTATGGTGGGGGGGTCCCACACATTGCACTATGAGGGGACCTGCCCATAATGTTATGGGGGGGACCCACACATCACATGGGAGGGGGTGCACATATTGCATTATTGGGGGGGACCCAAAGCATTGAGACCCCCCCCCTTTAACCACTCTTTGTCATCCCCCCCCTCCAGCAGCCGCCAGTGCCGGGGCTGGACGAAGCCCCCCCTATGGCAGCCCCCAGCCCCAGCTGCCCCCCAACCCCCCCCCGCAGCCCCCCCCACCCCACAGCACCCTCCCCATGGGGGGGGCAGCAGCGGCTGCTCCAACGCCTGGCGGGGGGGCTCGGGGACCCCCCAAGCGGCAGCTGCGCCCCCCCCTTACTCCCCCCACGGCTACAGCAGCGAAGGGCCCGGCCCAAAGGGCAAGAAGGGGCAGCTCTGGAGCCGCATGAAGCGTAAGAGACCCCCAAACTGGGAAGGAGGGGGGGGGGCACCATATGATCCCCCCCTTATTTCCCCCCAGACCCCCTGTTCTCTCCCCCAACCCCCTTTTCTCCCTTATTCCCCCGCTTTCCCCCCCTTCCCCCATTTCCTCCCCCCTTCCCCCCTGTTTTCCCCCTCCTTCTCCCCCTTTTCTCCCCCCTTTTTCCCCCAGCCCTTCCTCCCCCCTTACCCCTATTTTCCCCCTCCTTTCCACCCCTTTCTCCCCCTTTTTCCCCCGAGCCCTTCCTCCCCCCCTTCCTCCCCCCCCTTTCCCCCCCTTTTTCCCCCAGCCCTTCCTCCCCCGTTTTCCCCCCATTTTCCCCCTCCTCTCCCCCCTTTTCTCCCCCCTTTTTCCCCCAGCCCTTCCCCCCCATTTCCCCCCAATTTTTCTCCCTATTCCCCTTCCCCCCCCATTTTTCCTGCTATTCCCCCTTTCCCCCCCCTTTTTTGCCCCCTTTGCCCCCCACCCTGACCCGTGTCGTGTGTGTGTCCCCCCCCCAGAGGCCCCTGGCTCGGGGGGGCTCAAGTTCCAGCTGCCCAAGCGCCCCTTTGTGCTGAGCGGCTCTGGATTTGCACCCCCCCCCGAGCAGCAGCAGCAGCAGCGCGGGGCCCCCCCGGCCCCCCCCACAACCGCCTTTGCCTCCCAGCCCGGCTCTGACAAGCACCATGGACATGGGTGAGTGCGAGGGGGGGGACAGAGACCCCCCCAAATCCCTCCCATAGAGACCCCCAGATCCCCCTTATAGAGATCCCCACATCCCCCCCATAGAGACCCTCCAGATCCCCCCATATAGAGACTCCTGGTTCCCCCATAGAGATCCCCAGATCAACATCATAGAGACCCACAGTTTCCCCCCATAGCCCACCAGAACAAATCCATAGAGACTCTCAGATTCCCCTCCCAGAGACCCCCCCATAGAGACCCCCAGATTCCCCCCTCAGACCAACCCCATAGAGACCCTCAGACCCCCCCCCCCAATCTCACCCATAGAGACCCCCAGTTCCCCCCTGTAGAGATCCCCAGATCAACCCCATAGAGACCCACAAACTCCTCCATAGATCCCATGATCCCCCCCATAGACCCCCAGACCAACCCCATGGAGACCCTCAGACCCCCCCAGAGACACCCCCCATAGAGACCCCCAGTTCCCCCCCCATACACCCTCAGACCAACCCCATAGAGACCCTCAGATCCCCACCATGGAGACCCGCAGATCCCCCCAGGACCCCCAGATCCCCCCATAGATACCCCAAAATCCCCCCCATAGACTCCAGGTACCCCCCATAGATACCCCATAGACCCCAGATCCCTGCCATGGAGACCCCCAGATCCACCCCATAGAGCCCCAGATCCCCCCAAGACCCCCAGATCCCCCTTTCATAGACCCCGGATTCCCCCCCCGAGACCCTCAGATTCCCCTCCCATAGGACCCCAAATCCCCCTTCAGAGACTCCCAGTATTCCCTGCATCCTCATTCCCTGCATCCATAAGGATGCTCAATGGGGATGCTCCATAGGGACGTCTCCCCTCAAATCCATCCTTAGAGACCCCAAATCCCCCTTAAATCCCACCCCCCCCCCACCCCCCTTTTCCGGCATTCCCTATATCCTGATCCTGCCTGCTGGCATTCCCAGTGGGAAGCCCGAGGACTGGCCCCAGGACATGAAGGAGTACGTGCAGCGCTGCTTCACCGCCTGCGAGTCCGAGGAGGACAAGGACCGCACCGAGAAACTGCTCAAGGAAGTGCTCCAGGCCCGGCTCCAGGACGGATCCGCCTTCACCATCGACTGGAGCCGGGAGCCCCTGCCTGGGTAAGGCAGGAATGCTGGGATGCTCCATAGGGATGCGACATCCCGGTTCCACGGGGATGTTCCATAGGGATTTGATGCCTCGTGGCCATGGGGGGAGGACCAGGGAGAGCTCAGACCCACCAGGACACCATGGGGATGCTCCGTGGGGATGGGGATGTTGAGCTCCAGGTTGATGGGGATGCTCCATAGGGATGTGAGCCCCAGATCTATGGGGATGCTCCATAGGGATGGGATGCTCCAGATCCATGGGGATGTGAGCCCCAGATCCATGGGGATGCTCCATAGGGATGGGATGCTCGAGATCCATGGGGATGTGAGCCCAGGTCCATGGGGATGCTCCATAGGAATGCTTCATAGGGATGTGCCCCACATCCATGGGGCTACTCCATAGGGGTGCTCCATAGGGGTATGACCCCAGATTCATAGGGATGCTCCATAGGCATGCTCCATAGTGGTGCTCTATGGGGATGCTCCATAGGGATGTGCCCCCATATCCATGGGGCAGCTCCATAGGGATGCTCCTTAGGGATATTCCCCCAGATCCATAGGGATGCTCCATAGGGAAGTTCCGTAACGTTTTGCTCCCAGATCCATGGGGCTGCTCCATAGGGGTGCTCCGTAGGGGTGCTCCTTAGGGATATTCCCCCAGATCCATAGGAATGCTCCATAGGGATGCTCTAAAGGGATGTTTCCAGATCCATAGGGGTGCTGTATAGGGATGCTCCATAGGGGTGCTCCATAGAGGTGCTCCATAGGGATGTGTCTCCGCAGCCTCTCCCGTGACGCCCCCTCCGGCAGCCCCAAGAAGCCCCCACCCCGTTGGGCCCCGGCCGGAGGCTCGGGGGGGTCCCAGCCCCCGCCAAGGCCGGGGGGGGTCCTTTGGGGGGGGCCCCCCCCCACCGCGGCGGCGCCGGCGCCGGCCGCTCCCGCGGGACCGCATTCGGCACCAAGTTTGGGAACAGGAACGTGTTCATTGAAGGAGAACAGCTCCTCCTCCAGCGGCGCCTCCCGATCCCGATCCGCTCCTCGTCCCGCTCCCCCGCGCGCCGCTTCCGACGCAGGTGGGCAATGGGCACCGAGTGCCCCCAAAACACCCCAAAACCAGGCAAAAACCAGCCCAAACCACCCCAAAAACACCCCCAGACCAGCCCAAAGCACCCCAAAACCAGCCCAAACCACCCAAAACACGCCTAAAACTACCCAGAAACCACCTCAAAACCAGCCCAGAACATGCCTAAATCTACCCCCAAACCACCCCAAAATCAAGCCAAAACACGCCTGAAACTACCATGAAACCACCACAAATCAGCCCAAAACACGCCTGAGACTGCATTCAAACCGCCCCCAAACCAGCCCACCCCCCCCAAATCACCCCAAAACATGCCTAAAACTACCCTGAAACCACCCCAAAATCGGCCCAAAACACACCTGAAACTGCCCCCAAGCCAGCCCAAAACACGCCTGAAACTGCCCCCAAACTCCCCCAAAATCAGCTCAAAACATGCCTAAAACTACCCTGAAACAGCCCCAAAACGCACCTAAAACTAACCCAGAATGCCCCGAAAACACCCCAGAACACCCCAAAATCAGCCCGAAACACCCAGAAACACCTAAAACTACCCCAAAACACCCTAAAACCAGCCCAAAACATGCCTAAAACACTTCAAAAACCACCCTAAAACACACCTAAAAGTACCTCGAAACCACCCCAAAACATGCCTCAAACTACCCTGAAACACCCCAAAATCAGCCCAAAACACACCTAAAACTGCCCTGAAACAGCCCAAAACCACCCTAAAGCTACCCCCAAAACCACTCCAAAATGCACCCGAAACCCCCCAAAACACACCTAAAACTATTCCGAACACCCCAAGTATACCCAAAACTACCCTGAAACACCCCAAAACCACCCCAAGAATACCCAAAACCACCTCAAAACACCCCAAAACACTGAAACGCCTGCAACACCGCAAATGCAATCTGAAACAGCCCCAAACTACCCAGAAGCACCCCAAAAGTACCCTAAAACAGCCCAAAACCACCCCGAAACACCTCAAAGCTACCCCCAAACAGCCCTAAACTGCCCTGAAGACCCCCAAACTAGCCCGAAACACCCTGAAACACACCAAACCAACCCTGATGCTACCCCCAGACACCCCAAAACCAGCTCTAAAACACCCCAGAACACTGAAATGCCCCAAACCCACCTGGAAACAGCCGAAAACTCCCCCAAAACAATCTGAAATCACCCCAGAGCACCCCTGATATTCCTCCACAACTGCCCTGAAACACCCCAAAATAGCCTGAAACAGCCCAAAACCACCCCAAGCACCCCGAATCACCTCAAAACTACCCACAGGCACGCCAAAACCATCCCCCAAACAGCCCAACTCTACCCCAAAACCACCCTGAAACAACCTGAACGACCCCGAACACCCTGAAACGCCCCATAAAGATCCGGAAACCACCCCGAAATGCACCCGAAACACCCTGAAATATGCCAAAATCAACCTGAAACCACGCCAAAACTACCCCTAAATATCCCTAACACCCCTAAACTACCCCAAACCACTCAGAAACACCCCAAAACCAACCTGAGAACACCCAAAAAATACCCCAAAGCACCCCCCAACCCCCCCCCATGACTGCCAAACCCTCCCTTAACCCCCCCATAACCCTTAAACCTCCCCTTAACCACCTCAACTCCCCCCCCAAACCTGTCCCCCCAACACCCCATAGTCCTCCCCATGTCCTTTAACCCTCCCCCTTTTGCTCTCCCCCCCTTCCCCTACAGTGATTCGGACTCGGAGAGCTCAGGATCGGGCCCCGAGGGGCGCCCCGGGACCCGCCGGGGGCCCCCCAAGAGCCGAGGGGGCCGGGGGGGGCCGGTGGAGCGCGGCGGCCGCTTGCGGGTGCAGAGAGGGAAGAGGTACCGGAACCCCCCCCTTGTCCCCCCCATATCCTGTGGGATGCAGGCCTGGATCCTGGTCTCTGAACCTCCCAATCCCATGGACCCCATCTCATGGCCTCCCATTCCTGACCCCATCCCATGGGCTCCATTCCCAACCCCAATCCCATGGGCTCCATTCCCAACCCCAATCCCATGGGCTCCCATTCCCAACCTCATCTCATGGGCTTCTGTTCCTGACCCCATCCTATTGCCTCCCATTCCCAACCCCCAGTTCCATGGGCTGCCATTCCTGACCCCCATCCGTTGCACTCCCATTCCTGACCCCCCATCCCATTGGCTCCCATTCCCAACCCCACCCCATGGGACTTCCTTAGACCCGTCCCATGGGCTCCCATTCTCGACCCCCATCTCATTCCTGACCCCCATCCCTTGCAATCTCCTCCCTGACCCCATCCCATCCCTCACCCCCATCCCATCGCCTCCCCTCCCTGACCCCATCCCATCCCTCACCCCCATCCCATCACCTCCCCTCCCTGACCCCATCCCATCCCTCACCCCATCCCATCCCTCACCCAATCCCATCCCATCCATCCCTCACCCCATCCCATCCCTCACCCCATCCCATTGCCTCCCCTCCCTGACCCCATCCCGTCCCTCACTCCATCCCGTTGCCTCCCCTCCCTGACCCCATCCCATCCCGCACTCCCATCCCATCGCCTCCCATCCCTGACCCTATCCATCCCTGACCCCATCCCTGACCCCATCCCATCGCCTCCCCTCCCTGGCCCCATCCCATCCCCTCCCTGCCTCCATCCCATCCCTGATCCCATCCCATTGCCTCCCCTCCCTGACCCCATCCCTGATCCCATCCCATTGCCTCCCCTCCCTGACCCCATCCCATCCCTCACCCCATCCCTTGCACTCCCATTCCTGACCCCATCCCATCCCTCACCCCATCCCATTGCCTCCCCTCCCTGACCCCATCCCATCCCTCACCCAATCCCATCCCATCCATCCCTGACCCCATCCCATTGCTTCCCATCCCTGACCCCATCTCATCCCTCACACCCATCCCATTACCTCCCCTCCCTGACCCCATTGCCTCCCCTCCCTGACCCCATCCCATCCCTCACCCAATCCCATCCCATCAATCCCTGACCCCATCCCATTGCCTCCCCTCCCTGACCCCATCCCCTCCCTGACCCCATCCCATCCCCTCCCCTCCCTGACCCCATCCCATCCCATCCCTGTTCCCATCCCATCCCCTCCCCTCCCTGACTCCATCCCATCCCATCCCTGTTCCCATCCCATCCCCTCCCCTCCCTGACCCCATCCCATCTCTCACCCCCATCCCGTCCCGTCCCCTCCCTGACCCCATCCCCTCCCTGACCCCATCCCATCCCCTCCCTGACCCCATCCCCTCCCTGACCCCATCCCATCCCCTCCCTGACCCCATCCCCTCCCTGACCCCATCCCATCCCCTCCCTGACCCCATCCCCTCCCTGACCCCATCCCATCCCCTCCCTGACCCCATCCCCTCCCTGACCCCATCCCATCCCCTCCCTGACCCCATCCCCTCCCTGACCCCATCCCATCCCCTCCCTGACCCCATCCCCTCCCTGACCCCATCCCATCCCCTCCCTGACCCCATCCCCTCCCTGACCCCATCCCATCCCCTCCCTGACCCCATCCCCTCCCTGACCCCATCCCATCCCCTCCCTGACCCCATCCCATTGCCTCCCCTCCCTGACCCCATCCCATCTCTCACCCCCATCCCGTCCCGTCCCCTCCCTGACCCCCTCCCCTCCCTGACCCCATCCCATCCCATCCCTGTTCCCATCCCATCCCCTCCCCTCCCTGACCCCATTCCCCTTTATTCCAGGCCGGAGCCGGGTCCCGGGCGCCGTCCCCGCCGCCGGGCGCCGCTGGAGCCCGAGGACCCGGAGAAGGAGGCGAAGCGGCAGCGCCGGGCGGCGCGGTTCCAACCGGGGCCCGGCCGCCGCCTGCGCTCGGAGCCGCTGGTGCTGCCCCTGGGCGCCGCGGCCGAGCCCCCGGGACCCGGCCCCGCTCCCGACTGGAACCAGCTCCAGATCCTGGGAACCTGCCAGGACGTCACCAAGCGCTACCTGCGGCTGACCTGCGCCCCCGACCCCGCCACCGTGCGGCCCGTGCCCGTGAGTGACACCATAGACACCCCATAGACACACATAGACACACATAGACACACATAGACACACATAGACACACATAGACACACATAGACACACATAGACACCCCTATAGACACACATAGACACCCCTATAGACACACATAGACACACATAGACACAGATAGACACACATAGACACACATAGACACACATAGACACACATAGACACACATAGACACCCCATAGACACACATAGACACACATAGACACACATAGACACCTATAGACACACACAGACACCCCTATAGACACCCCAAACCAAGCGCTACCTGCGGCTGACCTGCGCCCCCGACCCCGCCACCGTGCGGCCCGTGCCCGTGAGTGACACCATTGACACCCCTATAGACACACATAGACACCTATAGACACACATAGACACACATAGACACCCCTATAGACACACATAGACACACATAGACACACATAGACACACATAGACACCCCTATAGACACACATAGACACACATAGACACACATAGACACACATAGACACACATAGACACCTATAGACACACATAGACACACATAGACACACATAGACACACATAGACACACATAGACACACATAGACACACATAGACACCCCTATAGACACACATAGACACCCCTATAGACACACATAGACACACATAGACACCTATAGACACACACAGACACCCCTATAGACACCCCAAACCAAGCGCTACCTGCGGCTGACCTGCGCCCCCGACCCCGCCACCGTGCGGCCCGTGCCCGTGAGTGACACCATAGACACCCCATAGACACACATAGACACACATAGACACACATAGACACCTATAGACACACATAGACACACATAGACACCCCTATAGACACACATAGACACACACAGACACACATAGACACACATAGACACCTATAGACACACATAGACACCCCTATAGACACACATAGACACCCCTATAGACACACATAGACACCTATAGACACACATAGACACCTATAGACACACATAGACACCCCTATAGACACCCCAAACCAAGCGCTACCTGCGGCTGACCTGCGCCCCCGACCCCGCCACCGTGCGGCCCGTGCCCGTGAGTGACACCATAGACACCCCATAGACACACATAGACACACATAGACACACATAGACACACATAGACACACATAGACACACATAGACACCTATAGACACACATAGACACACATAGACACACATAGACACCTATAGACACCTATAGACACACATAGACACCTATAGACACACACAGACACCCCTATAGACACCCCAAACCAAGCGCTACCTGCGGCTGACCTGCGCCCCCGACCCCGCCACCGTGCGGCCCGTGCCCGTGAGTGACACCATTGACACCCCTATAGACACACATAGACACCTATAGCACCTATAGACACACATAGACACCCCTATAGACGCCCCAAACCAAGTGCTACCTGCGCCCCCGACCCTGCCGTGCAGCCCGTGCCTGTGAGTGACACCGTAGACACATATAGCCACCTATAGACACACATAGACACACATAGACACCTATAGCACCTATAGACACACATAGACACCTATAGCACCTATAGACACACACAGACACCTATAGACACACGTAGACACTTATAGACACACATAGACACCTGTAGCACCTATAGACACACATAGACACCTATAGACACACATAGACACCTATAGACACACATAGACACCTATAGCACCTATAGACACACATAGACACCTATAGCACCTATAGACACACATAGACGCCTATAGACACACATAGACGCCTATAGACACACATAGACACCTATAGACACACATAGACACACATAGACACCTATAGCACCTATAGACACACATAGACACCTATAGCACCTATAGACACACATAGACACCTATAGACACACATAGACACCTATAGACACACATAGACACCTATAGCACCTATAGACTCACATAGACACATATAGACATACATGGACACACATAGACACCTATAGACACACATAGACACACAGATACACCTATAAATACCTAAGCCAGTTGATACCTGCAGCTGACATGTGCCCCATAGCACTGCCCCATAACCTGCCCCATCACCTGCCCCATAGCAGTCCCCCATAGCTTGCCCCACAGTGCTGCCCCATAGCAGTCCCCCATAACCTGCCCCATCGCCTGCCACATAGCGCTGACACATAGTCCTGCCCCACAGCAGTCCCCCATAGCTTGCCCCATAGTGCTGCCCCATAGCGCTCCCCCGTAACACTGCACCATAGCACTCCCCCATAGCGCTGCCCCATACCCCTTCCCCATAGCACTCCCCTATAGCGCTGCCCCATAGCGCTCCCCTATAGCCTGCCCCATACCGCTCCCCCGTAACACTACACCATAGAACTCCCCCATAGTGCTGCCCCATAGCGCTGCCCCATAGCGCTGCCCCAGACCCCTTCCCCATAGCACTCCCCTATACCCTGCCCCATAGCGCTGCCCCAGACCCCTTCCCCATAGCACTCCCCTATACCCTGCCCCATAGCGCTGCCCCATAGCGCTGCCCCAGACCCCTTCCCCATAGCACTCCCCTATACCCTGCCCCATAGCGCTGCCCCAGACCCCTTCCCCATAGCACTCCCCTATACCCTGCCCCATAGCGCTGCCCCATAGCGCTGCCCCAGACCCCTTCCCCATAGCACTCCCCTATACCCTGCCCCATAGCGCTGCCCCAGACCCCTTCCCCATAGCACTCCCCTATACCCTGCCCCATAGCGCTGCCCCAGACCCCTTCCCCATAGCACTCCCCTATACCCTGCCCCATAGCGCTGCCCCATAGCGCTGCCCCAGACCCCTTCCCCATAGCACTCCCCTATACCCTGCCCCATAGCGCTGCCCCATAGCGCTGCCCCAGACCCCTTCCCCATAGCGCTCCCCTATACCCTGCCCCATAGCGCTGCCCCAGACCCCTTCCCCATAGCACTCCCCTATACCCTGCCCCATAGCGCTGCCCCATAGCGCTGCCCCAGACCCCTTTCCCCATAGCACTCCCCTATACCCTGCCCCATAGCGCTGCCCCATAGCGCTGCCCCAGACCCCTTCCCCATAGCGCTCCCCTATACCCTGCCCCATAGCGCTGCCCCAGACCCCTTCCCCATAGCACTCCCCTATACCCTGCCCCATAGCGCTGCCCCATAGCGCTGCCCCAGACCCCTTCCCCATAGCACTCCCCTATACCCTGCCCCATAGCGCTGCCCCAGACCCCTTCCCCATAGCACTCCCCTATACCCTGCCCCATAGCGCTGCCCCATAGCGCTGCCCCAGACCCCTTCCCCATAGCACTCCCCTATACCCTGCCCCATAGCGCTGCCCCAGACCCCTTCCCCATAGCACTCCCCTATACCCTGCCCCATAGCGCTGCCCCATAGCGCCGCCCCGCTGCCATTGCAGGTGCTGGTGCGGGCGCTGGCGCTGGTGCGGACGCACTGGCAGCAGCACCAGGACTACGCCTTCGCCTGCGAGCAGCTCAAGTCCATCCGGCAGGACCTGACGGTGAGACCCCCCCATGGGACATGGGGGGCTATGGGGGGGTCCTAGGGGCACTTGGGGGGGGCTGAGGGGCATTTGGGGTTCTCCTGGACCCCTTTGTGTGGGGTCTCCATCACTTTTGGGATGATTCTGGACCCCTTTTGGGGGGTTCCCATCACTTCTGGGAGGGTTCTGGACTCCTTTTTGAGGGGGTACCCATGATATTTTGGGGGTCCCCATCACTTCTAGGGTGGTTCTAGACCCCTTTTGGGGTCCCCCTGTTCTTTAGGGGGGGTCTAGGCCCTTTTGAGGGAGGTCTCCATCAGTTTTGGGGATGATTCTGGACCCCTTTGGAGGGCTCCCCATCACATTATGGGGGCGTACCCATGATATTTGGGGTACCCCAATGCTTTTGGGGGGTCCCCATCACTTTTGGGGTGATTCTGGACCCCTTTTGGAGGGGTCCCCATCACTTGGGTGGGGTTCTGGTCCCATTTTGGGGGGGTACCCATGATATTTGGAGGCCCCCAATGCTTTTTGGAGGTCCCCATCACTTCTGTGGGGGTTCTGGACCCCTTTTCAGGGGGATACCCATCATATTTGGGGACCCCCAGTGCTTTTTGGGGGGTCCCCATCACTTTTGGTGGGGTTCTGGACCTCTTTTTGGGGCGCTACCCTGATATTTGGAGGCCCCCAATGCTTTTTGGGGATCCCCATCACTTCTGGGGTGATTCTGGACCCCTTGAGGGGGGTACCCATAATATTTGGAGGCCCCCAATGCTTTTTGGGGGTCCGATCACTTTTGGGGTGATTCCGGACCCCTTTTGGGGTCCCCCTGTTCTTTGGGATGGGTCTAGGCCCTTTTGATGGGGTCCCCATCACTCTGGGTACGATCCTGGACCCCTTTGGGGGGTCCCCATCACATTTGGGGGGGGTTTTGACCTTTTGGGGACCCCCTGACCTTCTTGGGGGGGGTCTCCTATATTGGGGGGGGTCTCACCCCATTGCCCCCCCCCCAGGTCCAGGGCGTCCGCACCGAGTTCACTGTTGAGGTCTATGAGGCTCACGCCCGCATTGCACTGGAGAAGGTGGGTTTGGGGGTGCCCCTGCCCCCAAAATCAGACCCCCCCCACCCCCCCCCATGTGTCCCCCCCCACATTGAGGGTCCTGTGCCCCCCCCCTGCCCCATAGGGTGACCACGAGGAGTTCAATCAGTGCCAGACGCAGCTGAAGGCGCTTTACAGCGAGAACCTGCCCGGGAACCAGGGCGAGTTCACGGCCTACCGCATCCTGTACTGCATGTTCACGCGCAACTCGGGAGGTGAGCCCCATAGCTGCCCCATAGCGTGACCCACAGCTGCCCTATAGTGTGACCCATAGCCCCCAGTAACCCCCGCATCCTGCACTGCATGTTCACGCGCAACTCGGGAGGTGAGCCCCATAGCCTGCCCCATAGCTGCCCCATAGCGTGACCCATAGCTGCCCTATAGTGTGACCATAACCCCTGCATCCTGTACTGCATGTTCGCGCGCAACTTGGGAGGTGAGCCCCATAGCTGCCCTATAGTGCGACCCATAGCGTGACCCATAACTGCCCTATAGTGTGACCCATAGCCCGCCCATAACCCCTTCATCCTGTACGGCATGTTCACGCGCAACTCGGGAGGTGAGTCCCATAGCCTGCCCCATAGCTGCCCCATAGCGTGACCCACAGCTGCCCTATAGTGTGACCCATAGCCTTCCATAACCCCCGCACATCCTGTACTGCATGTTCACGCGCAACTCGGGAGGTGAGCCCCATAGCCTGCCCCATAGCGTGACCCATAGCTGCCCTATAGTGTGACCCATAGCCCCCCGTAACCCCCGCATCCTGTACTGCATGTTCACGCGCAACTCGGGAGGTGAGCCCCATAGCTGCCCCATAGCGTGACCCATAGCTGCCCTATGGTATGACCCATAGCCCCATGTAACCCCCAAACATCCTGTACTGCATGTTCATGCGCAACTCGGGAGGTGAGCCCCATAGCTGCCCCATAGTGTGACCCACAGCTGCCCTATAGTGTGACCCATAGCCCCCCGTAACCCCCGCATCCTGTACTGCATGTTCACGCGCAACTCGGGAGGTGAGCCCCATAGCCTGCCCCATAGCGTGACCCACAGCTGTCCTATAGTGTGACCCATAGCTGCCCCATAGCGTGACCCATAGCTGCCCTATAGTGTGACCCATAACCCCCGCATCCTGTACTGCATGTTCGCGCGCAACTCGGGAGGTGAGCCCCATAGCCTGCCCCATAGCTGCCCCATAGCATGACCCACAACCCCCGCATCCTGTACTGCATGTTCGCGCGCAACTCGGGAGGTGAGCCCCATAGCCTGCCCCATAGCTGCCCCATAGTGTGACCCATAGCTGCCCTATAGTGTGACCCATAGCCCCCCATAACCCCCGCATCCTGTACTGCATGTTCACGCGCAACTCGGGAGGTGAGCCCCATAGCCTGCCCCATAGCGTGACCCACAGCTGCCCTATAGTGTGACCCATAGCCCCCTGTAACCCCCGCATCCTGTACTGCATGTTCACGCGCAACTCGGGAGGTGAGCCCCATGCCTGCCCCATAGCTGCCCCATAGCGTGATCCACAGCTGCCCTATAGTGTGACCCATAGCCCCCCGTAACCCCCGCATCCTGCACTGCATGTTCACGCGCAACTCGGGAGGTGAGCCCCATAGCCTGCCCCATAGCTGCCCTATAGTGTGACCCATAGCTGCCCCATAGCGTGACCCATAGCTGCCCTATAGTGTGACCATAACCCCTGCATCCTGTACTGCATGTTCGCGCGCAACTTGGGAGGTGAGCCCCATAGCTGCCCTATAGTGCGACCCATAGCGTGACCCATAGCTGCCCTATAGTGTGACCCCTAGCTGTCCATAGCCCCTGCATCTTGTACTGCATGGTCACCTGCTACTCGGGAGGTGAGCCCCATAGCCAGCCCCATAGCATGACCCACAGCTGCCCTATAGCGTGACCCTTAGCTGTCCATAGCCCCCTCATCCTGTACTGCATGTTCACCCGCAACTCAGGAGGTGGCCGCCATAGCCTGCCCCATAGCATGACCCACAGCCTGCCCCATAGGACCTGCATCCTGTACTGCATGTTCACCTGTAGCTCAGGCGGTTGGAGCCTGTAGGCCCCCCCACGTCATGTTGAGGGGGTTTGTTGTGCACACCCCACATCCTGCCCCCCATTACCCCATATCCACATCCACGACCCACTGCAGAGTGGAGCTGGCCTCTGTTGCCCCGTTCCCCCCTGTATCCCCATGGCAGCGCCGCCTCCATCGCCCCATTCCTTGCCCCCCATCTCCCTATGGCCAAGCCCCCTCCATCCCCCCACTGACCCCTACCCCCCCCCCCCATGTCCCCACCCCCTCCATCCCCGCACTGACCCCTCCCCCCCCATGGCTCCACCCCCTCCATCCCCCCATTGACCCCCCCTCAGCCCCCATGGCCCCACCCCTTCCATCCCCCCATTAACCCCTCCCCCCCATGTCCCCACCCCCTCCATCCCCCATTGACCCCCCCTCCATCCCCCCATTAACCCCTCCCCCCTCCCCATGTCCCCTCCCCCCCATGTCCCCACCCCTTCCATCCCGCCATTAACCCCTCCCCCTCCCCATGTCCTCTCCCCCCATGACCCCAACCCCCTCCATCCCCCCATTAACCCCTCCCCCCCATGTCCCCACCCCCATCCCCCCATTAACCCCTCCCCCCCATGTCCCCCCCTCCATCCCCCCATTAACCCCTCCCCCCCATGTCCCCCCCTCCATCCCCCCATTAACCCCTCCCCCCCATGTCCCCACCCCCATCCCCCCATTAACCCCTCCCCCCATGTCCCCCCCTCCATCCCCCCATTAACCCCTCCCCCCATGTCCCCACCCCCATCCCCCCATTAACCCCTCCCCCCATGTCCCCCCCCATCCCCCATTAACCCCTCCCCCCATCCCATGTCCCCACCCCCTCCATCTCCCCATTAACCCCTCCCCATCCCCCCACCCCCTCCATTCCCCCCACTGGCTCCCCCTCCCCTCATTAACCCCTCCCCCCATCCCCCCATTAACCCCTCCCCATGTCCCCACCCCCATCCCCCCATTAACCCCTCCCCCCATGTCCCCCCCCATCCCCCCATGTCCCCACCCCCTCCATCCCCCCATTAACCCCTCCCCATGTCCCCTCCCCCCATGTCCCCCCCCATTAACCCCTCTCTCTCTCTCTCTCCCCTCCCCCCCCGCAGAGCTGACCCTGGAGCTCGCCGCCCTTCCCCCCTCCCTCCGCCAGGCGCCGCTCGTGGCCCAGGCGCTTTCCCTCCGCTCCTCGTGGGCCCTGGGCAATTTCCGCCGCTTTTTCCGCCTGTACCGGGCGCTGCCCCCCTCCCCCGCGCGCCTCATCGACCTCTTCATCGAGCGCGAGCGGCGCGGGGCCCTGCGCGCCCTCCTGCGAGCGTACGTGGGGGAGGGGGGGAGGGGGAGGGGGAGGGAGGGAGGGGAGGGGGGGGGGGAGGGGCAGCCCTGGATCGAGGTGAGTGATGGGGGGGATGGGGGCGGGGGGGACTCCATTTCTGCCCCATGGCGGGGGGGGAGAGCCCGTTTCTGCCCCATAGTGGGGTGGGAGAGCCCGTTTCTGCTCCATAGTGGGGGGGAGACTCCATTTCTGCCCCATGGTGGGGTGGGGGAGCTGGTTTCTGCCCTATATTGAGGTGGGAGACTCCATTTCTGCCCCATGGTGGGGTGGGAGACTCCATTTCTGCCCCATAGTGGGGTGGGAGACTCCATTTCTGCCCCATATTGGGGGTGGGAGACTCCATTTCTGCCAGACTCCATTTCTGCCCCATAGTGGGTGGCAGAGCCCGTTTCTGCCCCATAGTGGGGTGGGAGACTCCATTTCTGCCCCATAGTGGGGTGGGAGACTCCATTTCTGCTCCATAGTGCGGTGGGAGAGCTCGTTTCTGCCCATATTGGAGTGGGAGACTCCGTTTCTGCCCCATAGAGGGGTGGGAGAGCCCGTTTGTACCCCATAGTGGGGTGAGAGGCCGTTTGTGCCCCACAGTGGGGGGGAGAGCCCGTTTCTGCCCCATAGTGGGGTGGGAGAGCCAGTTTCTGCCCCATAGAGGGGTGGGCGAGGCCGTTTCTGCCCCATATTGGGGGTGGGAGAGCTCGTTTCTGCCCCATAGTGAGGTGGGAGACTCCATTTCTGCCCCATAGTGGGGTGGCAGAGCCCGTTTCTGCCCCATAGTGGGGTGGGAGACTCCCATTTCTGCCCCATAGTGGGGGTGGGAGACTCCATTTCTGCCCCATAGTGGGGTGGGAGACTCGCATTTCTGCCCCATAGTGGGGTGGGGGAGGCCGATTTTTCTGCCCCATAGTGGGGTGGGAGAGCAGTTTCTGCCCCATAGAGGGGTGGGCGAGGCCGTTTCTGCCCCATATTGGGGGTGGGAGAGCTCGTTTCTGCCCCATAGTGGGGTGGGGGAGCCGATTTCTGCCCATAGTGGGGTGGGAGAGCCCGTTTCTGCCCCATAGTGGGGGTGGGAGACTCCGTTTCTGCCCCATAGTGGGGTGGGAGACTCCGTTTCTGCCCCATGGGGGTGGGAGAGCCGTCTCTGCCCCATATTGGGGGTGGGAGAGCCCGTTTCTGCCCCATAGTGGGGGGGGAGACTCCATTTCCCGCCCCATGGTGGGGTGGGGGAGCTGGTTTCTGCCCTATATTGAGGTGGGAGACTCCATTTCTGCTCCATAGTGGGGGTGGGAGACTCCATTTCTGCCCATAGTGGGTGGGGGAGCCGATTTCTGCCCCATAGTGGGGTGGGAGAGCCAGTTTCTGCCCCATAGAGGGGTGGGCGAGGCCGTTTCTGCCCCATATTGGGGGTGGGAGAGCTCGTTTCTGCCCCATAGTGGGTGGGGGAGCCGATTTCTGCCCCATAGTGGGGTGGGAGAGCCCGTTTCTGCCCCATAGTGGGGGTGGGAGACTCCGTTTCTGCCCCATAGTGAGGTGGGAGACTCCATTTCTGCCCCATAGTGGGGTGGGAGAGCCAGTTTCTGCCCCATAGAGGGGTGGGCGAGGCCGTTTCTGCCCCATATTGGGGGTGGGGGAGCCGATTTCTGCCCCATAGTGGGGTGGGAGAGCCTGTTTCTGCCCCATAGTGGGGGTGGGAGACTCCGTTTCTGCCCCATAGTGAGGTGGAGACTCCGTTTCTGCCCCATGGGGGTGGGAGAGCCCGTCTCTGCCCCATATTGGGGGTGGGAGAGCCCGTTTCTGCCCATAGTGGGGGGGAGACTCCATTTCTGCCCCATGGTGGGGTGGGGGAGCTGGTTTCTGCCCTATATTGAGGTGGAGACTCCATTTCTGCTCCATAAGTGGGGGTGGGAGACTCCATTTCTGCTCCATAGTGGGGTGGGAGAGCCCATTTCTGCTCCATAGTGGGGGTGGGAGACTCCATTTCTGCTCCATAGTGGGGTGGGAGAGCTCGTTTCTGCCCATATTGGAGTGGGAGACTCCGTTTCTGCCCCATAGAGGGGTGGGAGAGCCCGTTTGTACCCCATAGTGGGGTGAGAGAGGCCGTTTGTGCCCCACAGTGGGGGTGGGAGAGCCCGTTTCTGCCCCATAGTGGGGTGGGAGAGCCAGTTTAAGCCCCATAGAGGGGTGGGAGAGGCCGTTTCTGCCCCATATTGGGGGTGGGAGAGCTCGTTTCTGCCCATAGTGAGGTGGGAGACTCCATTTGTGCCCCATAGTGGGGTGGGAGAGCCCGTTTCTGCCCCATAGTGGGGTGGGAGACTTCATTTCTGCCCCATAGTGGGGGTGGGAGTCCCCATTTCTGCCCATAAAGGGGTGGGAGAGCTCAGTTCTGCCCCATAGAGGGGTGGGAGACCTCATTTCTGCCTCACAGTGGGGATGGGAGCTCCCAGTTCTGCGCCATATTGGAGGTGGAGCCCCATTTCTGCCCCACAGTGGGGTTGGGAGAGCCAGGTTCTGCCCCATATTGGGTGCGTGAGACACAGCTCTGCCCCATAGTGGGGGTTGGAAGCCCCCTTTCTGCCCCATAATGAGGTGGGAGTCCCCATTTCTGCCCCTAGAGGGGTGGGAGACCCCAATTCTGCCCCTTATTGGGGGTGAAAATCTCATTTCTGCCCCATAGTGGGGATGGGAGCCCCATTTCTGCCCCACATTGGGGGTGGAAGCCCCAGTTATGCCCCATATTTGGGCTAGGGGGGGTGGGAGATGCCGGGTCTGCCCCATAGTGGGTAGGGGAGCCCCTGTTTCTGCCCCACACTAGGGCTGTATCCTCTGCTATGGGGCCATGTCTCCTCTCTATGGGGCTGCTTTCCCCCCATGGGAGTGTCCTCTGTCTATGGGGTCGTGTTCCCCGCTATGGGGCTGTGTCCCCCCCAGACCATCTATAGGGTTGAGTCCTCTGCTATGGGGCCACATCCCCTGTCCCTGGAGCTGTGTTCCCCATCTATGGGGGCTGTGTCCGTATCTATAGGTCTGTGCCCCCCATCTGTGGGGGTACATCTGTAGGGCCACATCTTCCATCTATGGGGCTGTGCCCCTGATGTGTGGGGTTGTGCCCCTGTCTGTAGGGCCACATCCTCCACCTATGGGCTGTGCACCTGATGTGTGGGGTTGTGCCCCCCCCGTCTTGGGCCACATCCTCCATCTATGGGGCTGCGCCCCCCATGTGTAGGGCTGTGTCTCCCATATATGGGGCCGTATCCCTTATCTGTGGGGCTTTATCCCTTATCTATGGGGTTGTGTCCCTTGTCTATGGGGCCACCCCCCTCCCCGGGGCCGTGTCCCTCCACACCTATGAGTCTGCGCCCCCTATGTGTGGGGCTGTGTCTCACATCTATGGGGCCACATCTATGGGACTGCATCCTCCATCTAAAGGGCTGTATCCCTTGTCTATGGGCTGTGTCCCTTATCTATGGGGCTGTATCCTTTCTCTATGGGGCTGTGTCTCTTACCTATGGGGCTGTGTCCCTTATCTATGGGGCTGTGTCCCATGTCTATGGGTCTCTAGGTCTCTATCCCTTATCTATGGGGCTGTGTCCCATGTCTATGGGTCTCTATCCCTTGTCTATGAGGCCAGCCCCCCCCCCCCCCTTCCCTCCCAGGGCCGTGTCCCTCCACACCTATGAGTCTGTGCCCCCATGTGTGGGGCTGTGTCTCCCATCTATGGGGCTGCATCCTCCATCTGAAGGGCTGTATCCCTTGTCTATGGGGCTGTGTCCCTTATCTATGGGGCTGTATCCCTTGTCTATGGGGCTGTGTCCCTTGTCTATGGGGCTGTGTCCCTTATCTATGGGGCTCTATCCCTTATCTGTGGGGCTGTGTCCCTTGTGTATAGGGCTGTGTCCTTTATCTATGGGGGCTGTGTCCCTTATCTATGGGGCTGTATCCCTTATCTATGGGGCTATGTCCCTTATCTATGGGGCTGTATCCCTTATCTATGGGGCTATGTCCCTTATCTATGGGGCTGTATCCCTTATCTATGGGGCTATGTCCCTTATCTATGGGGCTGTGTCCCTTATCTATGGGGCTGTGTCCTTATCTATGGGGCTATGTCCCTTATGTATGGGGCTATGTCCCTTATGTATGGGGCTGTGTCCCTTATCTATGGGGCTATGTCCCTTATCTATGGGGCTGTGTCCCTTATCTATGGGGCTGTATCCCTTATCTATGGGGCTGTGTCCCTTATCTATGGGGCTGTATCCTTATCTATGGGGCTATGTCCCTTATCTATGGGGCTGTATCCCTTATCTATGGGGCTGTGTCCCTTATCTATGGGGCTGTGTCCCTTATCTATGGGGCTGTATCCCTTATCTATGGGGCTATGTCCTTATCTATGGGGCTGTGTCCCTTATCTATGGGGCTGTGTCCCTTATCTATGGGGCTGTATCCCTTATCTATGGGGCTATGTCCCTTATCTATGGGGCTATGTCCTTATCTATGGGGCTGTATCCCTTATCTATGGGGCTGTGTCCCTTATCTATGGGGCTGTGTCCCTTATCTATGGGGCTGTATCCCTTATCTATGGGGCTATGTCCCTTATCTATGGGGCTGTATCCCATGTCTATGGGTCTCTATCCCTTGTCTATGGGGCCACCCCCCCCCCCTTCTCCCCGGGGCCGTGTCCCTCCCACACCTATGGGGCTGCGCCCCCCATGTGTGGGGCTCGGCCCCCCCTGACCTCCTTCTCTCCTCAGCTTCCGGCCGACGCTGCCGGTGGCCGCGGTCGGGGCCGCGCTGGCCCTGGACACCGCCGAGAGCCGCCGCCGCTTCCTGGGGGCGCTGCCCCTCACCTACAGCGGCCCCGACGGCAGCGCCATCGACTGCAAGCGGAGCCTCCCGGCGCTGCCCCCCTGCTGACTCCGCTGCCCCACGGCGCTGCCCCATAGCGGGGCGCTGCAGACACTCCCCCCCCACCACCCTCCCACAGAGACCCACAGCAGAGCCACAGCTGGGCAGTGAGCTGCTGCTGACTCCTGAGTGACCCATGCGGGGAGCTGCCCCATTGCTGACCCATGGCGGGAGCTGACCCATTGCTGACCCATGGCGGGGAGCTGACCCATTGCTGACCCATGGCGGGGAGCTGACCCATAGCTGGGAGCTGACCCATTGCTGCCCCACGGCTGGGAGCTGACCCATGGCTGGGAGCTGCCCCATTGCTGACCCACGCTGGGGAGCTGACCCCTGAGTGACCCACACAACTGGGAGCTACCCCATTGCTGACCCACAGCTGGGTGCTGACCCCTGAGTGACCCACAGCGGGGAGCTGACCCATTGCTGCCCCATGGCTGGGAGCTGCCCCATCGCTGACCCACAGCTGGGAGCTGACCCCTGAGTGACCCCACGGGTGGGTGCTGCCCCATTGCTGACCCACAGCTGGGAGCTGCCCCATTGCTGACCAACAGTTGGGTGCTTCCCCCACTGCTGACCCACAGCTGGGGAGCTGACCCCTGAGTGACCAGCACAGCTGGGTGCTACCCGATTGCTGACCCACAGCTGGGTGCTAGCCCATTGCTGGGAGCTGACCCACTGCTGCCCCACAGCTGGGCACTGTCCTCCCAGTGACCCCCAGCTGGGTGCTGCCCCACAACTGGATGCTGCTCCACTTCGGACTCCCCCTCAAGTGACCCACAGCCGGGTGCTGCCCCAAACTCCCTCTCCAGTGACCCACAGCAGAGCTACAGCCAGGAGCTGCCCACTGCTGCCCCCCAAGTGACTCACAGCTGACCCGCAGCAGGGCGGTGACCCCACAGCCAAACCCCAGCTGGGTGCTGCCCCATAGCGGGTGCTGCCCCACTGCTGACCCCCAACTGGACATGTCCTCACTTCGGACCCTCAAGTGACCCACGGCTGACCCCCCTGCTGGACGCTGCCCCACTGCCTGCCCCCCAAGTGACCCCCAGCTGGGGGTGGGGGAGGGGCTGGGGTCACCCCATAATGAGCCGGGTCTCTGGGGGGAGGGGAGGGGGAAGGGGCAAGGGGGGGAGGGGCAATGTGTGGGGTGGGGGAGGGGAGCTGGGGGGGGGGAGGGGCCGCTCGCGCCCGCCCCTCCCCCACTGACACTGTCTCTTCCTGCTGCCGAGGTGCCGCCTGCCCGCCCCTCCCCCACCAAGCCGCAGCCAATCAGCAGCCGCCGCGCAGCCACCAACCAAGCCAGCAGCCAATCAGCGCCTCAGCAACCAAGCAAGCCACCAATCAGCGAACAGCGGCTGCGGAGAACGAAGGGGGAACAGGGGAAGAAACGGACCCCTCCCCCCTCCGCCCCTCCCCCCACAGGACCGCGATCGCGACGCTCAAATTTCCCCATTTTCGTCCCCCCTTTTTTTCTTTTTTCGTTACTTTTTTCCGTATTTAATTTATTACCCCTCCCCCCCCCCCCCCCCCCTACCTCTCTTCGCAGGTAAAGCACGCCCCCCTCCCCCCACCCCTTCCCCCTCCCCCCCACACCCTTCCCGGCCACGGCCCCTTCCCACCTCCCCTTTAGCCTCCCGACGCCCC